CTCTATACAACGAAAGGAGACTGCGACCACACAAAAGGCCACACTATCTTGGTCTTCATACCTTCGATAAGTTAAATTAATTCTAGAATAGGTATCGATGCGATAAATGTTTTTAAAAGCAACTATGTAAACTAAGTTTTTTAAATATCAGAACCCAGATTTTGGGAGCTTGATAAGTAATGTTGTTGTATACGTTCTATCGAAGGCTCGAGGCAGTGTAGAATATAGCGCCTCGAGCAGCACGAATATGGTGACAGTGATAGATTGAAGCAACTGGACCAGAGTAATAGGAGAGGGATCTTATGGGGCATGTAAAGGACTCTGATAGAACCTATAGAAAGTTGGTTGCAAACTATCGGGGTGAACAAGTGAACCAGCGGGGAGTGTGGATAGACCTCACCAAATCCGTTCAAAAGGGCACACCTGGACTAGGGCTAAATAAACCAGAAAAAATTGTGATAGCGAAGGGGGTAATAAGAGAAAATGGGATAGGTGACTGCACCCAAGAGAAGAGATACTACTTGTCTCTTTAACGGGTTGTAGTGTGGTGCTAAGAATGGCAAGGCCCACTGATGGTGCCGACTACGATGCCAGTAAAGGGTCTGGGAATGTACGAAGACTATGACCTGACGCTGTAAATTATCATGGATATTATTGACTCCGAACAAAGCATGTTTCTCTAGGTCTATTAAAGGATACGACCAAGTTACTAAAGCAGAATAACAACTTATATATGATTTAGAGAGGCCAGAAACATACACCATCCTCGTCTTCACACATTTGGTTTATGTATTTGATTTAAAGTTATTATGGCACAGGCATATGTTAATATGTAGTCCGTGATCGACTAAGAAATTAACATCCTTATTATCCCAAACTCTTATTAAATAATTAAGCTATGATTAGGCTGTGGTCTATAAAATCGAACTGCCAGTTGCAGAAACTGTAAAGCTAAACATTTTCAGTATTCATATATATATGATAATAATTAAACGAAATCCTTTGGTTTACAAGTAGAAAAATGAACTCCGATACATAGGACAGGTAAATTTTAGATAACTCTAAAGTC